CAATACATGAGTTGGTCCCCCCAAATTGGCGTATCACTTACAGATGGCAAAGTCCATGTTAAGGGCATACACAAGACATAATGTGTCCGCAAGAATGAAGAGAGCACAATTGAATATAAGTCAACGACTTTATTATAACTAAATAGCTACGTTAATACAACATGAAATGAAACCATGAACCCAACACGAACTATGTGAAAAGAAAAACAAAACAAAAAAATGAACTCCACAAAAAAAGGAGTACTTAAGTATTCTTTACGAAATTGAAATGCATAACTAGCTATCTAGTTTCTAGTTTTCTACTATACACTCTGAATAATTGTAAGTGCACCCAAAAAAGATTTACAATGTACAACTGACTGAACTTGCGTACCAAAGAAAGCTACCCCCTTCAAATCTAAATTTTCTAAGTGGCAAATTGCATACCTGAAGTCGTACCACAACCCACTACATACCATGTACTGTATAACTATGCTCACAATATCCCTCTTTGCCAGCAGATCAACCGTAGACCCTCCCTTGCATATTCTGTATCTGAAATGGTTTTCCAGTCATATTGCTTCTTATCCCTTGACTCTGCAGTCTATAGTTCTTTGTTTGCGTATCTACAAATAATGAATTACTTAAATTGCTTTATGCAAGAGCAGAAATGAGTAAAAAGATTTGTTGACCGTAAGGAGGCATCCTGATTCCTCATAACTAACAGAATCATGGTTTTGACATGTAGCCATATTCACGAGTAGTGTATAATGTTCCTAAAATTCTGTATTTCCCTTCCTGTGTATGAGCTCCAACGCAAATTGCCAGGGCCTCATTTCGATGCATATGCCTCAAATTGTGGGGGCTTTTCTTAATTTTGTGGATTAGCTGACGCAAATAACATATTCAAGCAATAAAAGACACTTCAGGTCATGAAACTTTGACTTCAAAGGTGAGCAAAACCACTTTCTCCTAGGAATATTGTATTAGTAGCCTTGTCGCTTCACGATTATCATGCACGTCAGTATAACTTGTTTATAACTAACATTGCTTTTTTTCCATCGCTGCTAAACTGTACAGAGACTTTTTCAAGTTCAGTCCAATGTGGTACTTGTGTTTCCTCTTCTGTTCAAGAAGAAATAATATAACTAGAGGTCTTACTCTTGTTGATAATGAGCCATTCCTACTTTATTCTTATACATACTTATGATTATACCAGACTGGTATCGAGCTATCATAAGCACACAACAGTTACATACTAAGCAACAAATTCTATATTTTCGAGTATCTTCTCAATGAACCGTATGAATTTTATACAAGCAATATCAATTTCTTTCAAATGGGTCTGTAAGCTATTCTAATCATTATCACTTTGGGCTGTATCCATGCCTATATCACTTATTCACGTATGATATATATTCAATACTTTGATTTCTCAAGCTTGCTTAAAAAACTAACTGCATCCACCAGTACTAACCCTAAACAAGCTTCAGCATGGATGAAATGTTGCATGTTGTCAGTTCACCTTGTCAGTTCACCTGGTGGCTGATGCTGTTTGGTAAGTACTTGATGCACCTCTCTGTTGTCGCAAGATGAACAACTTTCTCGATTTTTTTAGGCAGTGAAAATTAAACTGTGAAATTATATGATGAACAAGCAGCAAAAAATGTCTATTTATGGATCGACAAGTTCCGTCTACAACTATGAATAATAGCCAGAATCCTCGATCACGCGCTTTGACATCTTTCCTGGAATTAGGATTCTCGAATCCCCTTCTGAAAAATTAAGCCATAGGAGGCACTAATATTGCACTGCTGCAAATAGAAACTTAAAATCTTCTCAAGTACTATCTGTCATACCATAAAATATTTCATGATTGCCAAGTCGACATCAACACCTCCCCACGTGACGGACAAGTGAGCAGCAGGGACATGTCACCAGTATCCGCCCCATCTCTTCCAAGAAGGATTGGGAAAGCATGAAGCCCGGAGCTCGGCAAAGGCAAGGCCTAAAGCCCTGAGCTCATTTCGCCACGAAGGGTTCCTCTTTTATCACCACAACCGTTAGGCGGGGATTCCTGCACACGTGTCTGACATCTACATTACACCTCTTTTTGGGATTAAAGGACAACGGTCCAAACATAACCGCCTAACTCCAATCAATCCAACGGGAACACACATCCCATCCTCTTCCCCTTCTCCAATCCTAGCCGCATAATTCTCTATATAAGGAATTAATAACAGTAATTTTCTCTAACCTAACTCTTTCTAGGGTTTTAGCCACATTTTAATGTTTTCTTTCTTTGGAAAGATTCTAACTTAGGCATCGGAGGACATACTGGAACCCCTAACCCTGGGGATTCTGGCACCACCTAACGAGTTGTTCAGTGTGCTGGTTAGGATTAGAAGGATTCTGACCATCAGAGGATTCATCGGAGGCCAAGCTTCCCTTATTCATTCCCCTTAATCAGAGGAATAATCTGAGGGAAATTTATTTTGTTCCAGAACTGTTCTATATCAAATATTTTCCATCCTATTTTTGCATGTTTCTCATCCCTGTATAATAAACTTAGAGCAGTTATCTACATTGGTGGCAGAACCATCTGATTAGCTTTGACAGCTAGATTCGTCACTTAAAAACTGAACTTTCAAAAACAAGTTCCACGTGGTACTTCACTTGTACGTTAAAATGCATCATACTGAGAAGAGCAGGTAGCGTACTTGCAAACAACTAAACTAAGTAGTGTACTTGCAAACAACTAAACTAAGCAGTGTACTTGCAAACAACTAAACTATGTAAAGTTCTAAAAAAGTTCTACGACTTTATCACGTCTTAAGAGAATGAATATTAACTTTCGCAAATAAAGGTTACAATCTAAAATATGGATACCTAATATTAATCTGAGCTAAAATTAGAGATGTAAAAAACTTACACCAGGAATTTCCGTCCTTTATGTCCAGCATGACAGCTTCCTTAGCATGATGAATGCTATCTTCAACTAGTTGTGACTGATTTTCTGCGCCTAAACAAATAAACAGACATGCAGAACACGAATCATTTACGCATATATATTCAAGAGGCCAGGGGAAACCGAAACAAGTAGTCTTTTATTTGTCTGTTAATAAAGAACAAAATTCACCCTAGCATGAAGTTTCCATCAGAAGAAGAAACTTAATTGAAGACCGAACTGATGAAATTATTAACAGAAAGCACTAACTTGACACGCTACTATATTTATTAACATAATCTTTTGTAGCATTACCCGGGATAGTAAGCCTTGAATTAAAAGATAAACAGGCGACCTCTACTTATAGACGACAAAACTCTAAATATTAAAATGCTTACTAGAGTTGCTATAAACCTCAAATACATGTTTTTTTGTCTAAAATAAACTGTTTTAGAAGCATGGAGTTCTACGAGAACCATTCCCTCCCTTTATCTTGTGTCACTGTGTCCACCTCTCAGCATAAGCACACGTGTTTATAAATAATTTCAGCATATAGCCCCTTGTGTTTTTGAAGTGTTACACGTTTGTCTAGATTTTTTGCAGTTTGCTGGGTTATTTTACATGTGCATACTTCCATGACACAAAAACTAGTGCAAACTGAACTAACAAGTTTCCAAGAATAAAATTATATTTCACTTAATTTGGTAACTTGCAATAAAAAGTAACCTTTCACTTTCCAATATTATTGTCATATGAGCTATTAATAATCATATTATTTGATTAATTTTGGCTGGAACTATTGTCAACATGTTGAGAGCATTGACATGGCTATCAGAAGGACAAATGCAAGTTTAGAAGTTGAGTTAAACATTGCTTAATAGTTAAATATACCATAAATGTGCTTGTAATTTTATTATTTTATGCTCATGAACAATCCAATCCAAAAGTACAACATCATCAAGCAGACATGTGAAGGGCGAGGAAAAAGAACTATGCAGTTTCAAACACAATGATGAATGATGTACATGCTCAAATCCCGTAAATAAAGTATCTCCACATAAACACAAACACACAAACAAAGGTTTAATGAATTAGAAAGGAGCATCCATTAACCCAATGTATAAATGCCAAAATTTTAAAAATAAATGAACTAAAAGCATCCTGATCATTTCAAATTCTCTAAAAGTGAGTGTGGCACATTCTCTGGAAATTTCATGATCCCAATCTACATCATTTGGATGTCGCGTACAGTAATAAATATCAATCAGACCGTCTAAGATGCAAAACAAACAAAAAAGAATTAACATAAGACAAGCTCACATACGATAAAACAATGATGTCCATTTTAATGGTACGTGGCGCTTAAAAGGCAACAAAAAAATTGATATGATAAAACAGTTCAAATAAGTTGTTAAACCAAAGAACCTTGATCAGCTGATTTAAGTTGCAAACTATCAGTAAAAAAAATTGAAGTATTTGAGACAAATATCAGCATGTTAAGCTCATGTAATCTAGGTACTTCAATCTTCAGTAGCAAATGGTAGTTCACAAGATAGTTTTCTTACCTTGAGCCATTTTTCTTTCGAGCATTGAAAGCTGGCAAAGTATTTTCTTATCTGCCCCCTGCATGATAACCCACATAGAAAACCATAATCTATCATAAAAGAAGCTAAAGACTCCAGTGAAAATAAGAGTATATTATCTTCAGACCTTGCTCAGTGCTAAGGAAAAGCAATTCTTTGCTGAGGGCAAATCTCCCTTCTTCCAAAGGCACATACCTAAGCATAACCATGCATCAGCAAGAGATGGGTTCAGTTTAACCTGAAACATCAAATAACCAATTCAAAAAGTATATCACAACTGCTATGTATGACCAGCAGAAAAGTTTGATTATCACGTACAGCTTTGGACAAATGATCTTCAGCTTCCTTCTGATAGTGAGGAAATACATTTAGTATCTTTCCCCTTAAGAACTCATGAGCTGCACGCTGGGATGGAGACCTCCTTTCTTCTGTGTAAAATATGGAGTTTAAAATTGAGATTAAGGATGAATATAGGAGTACACACAGCTGCTATAAAAATCCATGTCATAGAGTCCATAGGATTTTGGGGCTCTAACTTGGGCCATAGCCAACAAAAGTAAAAATTGGTAAAAAAATGGTAAACACAAACAGTTGAGTGTGATTTAGGTGTTCAGTATGAACTTTTAATGCAAAAGAAGAAATTCAAAATAAACAAGCTGAAATCTACAATGAGGATGCCAAGATAAATCTGGAAACAACAGCCTTCAGTTCAAAATTGAAAATGGTAAGCTCTCCACAAAAATTTTACGCAAATAAATAGGAAGCAACAACATCAGCTCATATTTCATTATATGTCAGCTTAGACGTTGCATTGCTAGAAGAAGTCCTCCACAAGCCCAAATCTACACCAAGAACTATAATAATACTAAGTATTACTTTTCTTGAGAAATACTGAATTATTATGGCGTAGACATGGTGATGAAGCTTGTAGAGAAATTGGAGCAAGAATAGGCAAAAAAAATCAATGAAAATAGAGTATTAATTTGCTATTAACTTCCTAGAAGCATACCTTGGGTTACGTCAATCACCTACAAACTTAAGGTAGGTCCTAATGCTTGGTGGGAGCACTTTCAGAAAAGCAGACAGCAAGGAAAGCTTTCATTTGAGACTGAACTCAAATGAAGAGAGTTGTAAATGAAGTCATTTCCACTTGTTGAAGATAATAATTTGGATTACTTAGAGAAGAAACAAGTTGGTCAGTATATAAAACAAAGTACATCCAATAATTTTGGGGAATTTCTTTTCTGTGACAAGCTCGAATATTGGACTTGCCCCATAGAATAGTCATTGAGATAGAAACAGACTGACTGACAGTGAAACCAAGTTATGAACAAAGGATTTTCAGGTCCAACAGTTCTTTTTTCAATTAGCAAGGGCAAGCTAGGAGAAGGAGCGTAACCTAGCAACTAAGTACGAGAGAAACACTCTGAAGTCAATTCTCAAACTTTAGACAAAGCCAGGTGACCTTCAGGTTCTAGTAACAATACGGCTATAGGCGATCCTTATGTCAGATCTTCATCAAAGAGTGCATGGGAACTAGACGTCAAAATTATGGTTGTTCATGGGAAGAAAGAAGTTAGTGATGGAGATAAAGAAGACATTGAGAATAACGAACATATGATATGTTATGCAATGGTGGCGGAAGACATAGTGTATGAGTTATAACCGTTTGTGGTTAGGCCATGAATGCTGACACCTAAGAACACATTATTTTCAGGACAGGGTGTTATATCCATGAGTAGATTTTTGGTGTCACTATTAACTGTGGTAGTAACAAGAACATAGTTCATCAAGAACTTGTGAAGCATCTGCCAATCCCAACAAAGAAACATCCTACCCCTTACAGTGGATGGATCAAGTCAGTTGCAGAATGTAAGATAACTGACCGTTGCGTATTCTAAAGAGTAACATTTATACCTTCAGTAGAGCATACTGAGGTTGGAATGGATAAGCCTTACTTAAACTATAAGGAACCTAAGGACAAAGACCACATACAGAAACACTGGCAGAGGAATATATGGTTATGGTGCGCTTACAAAAAGTAATTCTTTATTGGTACCTACAACAAAATGGTCCTTACAAGATTCTGAAGGTCAAAATAATCCTAAGCAGTCTTTCCACCATATCTTAATGTTACTCCACTTTCAGCGCAGCTGATCTTACAGAATCAAATCCAAACTTGCCATTGTATATGCCAAGCAAATCAAGGACATGTTTTCTGCAGGTGTGACGATTTGCGATTGATATATACACAGTTCCTGAAGATTTTATGAGGTTGGAGGAAGAATAGGCAAGAAACCAGAGAACATATATTTTCAATTACCATTGATTTCTAGGAAAAACCACTTTCAAATCATAACAGTAATTGGGAAGCTTATTGTGTACTTTATATGTTGTCCAACTAGCTAAAGTTTGTTAGACTCAAGTTTTATCCCAAATTCGACCGTTTGAGGGGAAGCCCTAGAAGTTTCGACTTAAAGTTTTTATGTGATTTTTTCTTCATTTTATTTCTTTATGAGCATTTTGTATTTCTATAAACTAATGTTTGCTAACATAAAGACCTCATTTAAAAATGGTAACCACTGTTTATAACTACTATATTTTTTTGTTTCTATATACAGATCCCTGGAAGTTAAAATTTTAGTTTTTAGTGTTTATGTTATTTTATATTCCAGTATTATTTGGCTTTTACGATATTGTTGTATTTTTAGCAAATGAAGGTGAATCATAGAACACCAAAAGCTGTGGTATCTTATGGACCTAACATAGGTCACATCCCTCACGACATAAGATTGAAAGATCCAAACCTTCCTCTTCGGAGCGGAAACAGATTTGGTTCCTGCCACTAGGACCTCATACTCAAATTGGTCCTCTCACTTTCTATTTTCTCAACTTAGTCCTTGTACCCCTTGTTAGGTGCATTCTCAGTCCTATTTTAACATTATGTTAAAAACTCCATTAAATAAAAACTGAAAATATAATATTACCCTATCTAATCATTTCTTTAAAAAATAAAGAAGATTTCCTGTTAAATGAAACTGTTTCATTAAATGCTCCCCACAAAATCTGAGGAACAAAGAGATACAATGAATTTCAAGACATGTTATCTATCCGGGATTTTAGTTTTATTTTTTCATTGTTCATTTTGGATTATGAGCAATTTGTATATTGGGATGAACGCAATTAATGAGTTTTTGTCTCCACCTGTACAAATTATGAGTTTAGGGTATTATCATTTGAGTGCTACTGGATTTTCAACTCATCCAAACAGATAGAATGAACTTTTATTTCTCGTGAAGAATAACATTTTCTAGAACAACTTTAGCATGCTTCAGATTTTTTCCCCCTATTCTCGTTTACTTGATGATGATTTGTACATGATAAAATCATATAGACACTCTTTTATATCAATGATAAGGCAATTGCACTTAAGTACCCTATCCTCTCTCGTACTTTGCACTTATAGACCATCGTTTGTTTTTGGTAGCACTTATATACCTTAAAGTTTTATAAATTTACATGTCAATACCCTTAGTTATGCGAAAGTGTGAATTTCTTCTCAAAAATTCTCATGCAACACTCACATGTTAATTTTAGAAAGTTTTAACCCCTAATATTTGTTAAATTCAATGTTAAATCTATCAAAATCCTATTTTACAATAGAATTAAGATAGGTTTAAAATAAAATTACAGTAGTTCAATTATTCTAGCAGTAAATTCAACAAAAATTAAGGATTACAAATATCTAAATTTAGCATGCATAGTGTCACATGGGAATTTTCTCATGCGGGGGAAGGGGGGATTCTTTCATTTGCATGACTGAGTGTATTTCAGTGCAAAATTTAAAACTTTAGGGTATATAACTGCTGCTAAAAACAAATAAGGGTATGTAAGTGCAAAGTCAAGAAAACGATAGGGTATATAAGTAACAATGTGGGGGGAAATATAGGGTATCTAAATGCAATTAAGCCAAACGATAATCACAAAAATAACCAACTTTTGAAAATTTCATCTTGATATGCGCAAAATTTATCATCATATAAGCATGTATCCAACAACAACGCGGAACTAAGTGCATGTAAAAATAAAATGTACCTATGGCATAAATATATAATGCCTTTTTTCCCCTCTCCTCAGTTCATGATATATGCCTTCTTACTTCTAGCTTTTGGAGTTTTCTTGAATGTCAAGAGATTTATGTCTTGATTTTCAGTACTACTAAAATACAATGTGTCAACTAATAAAGCGTGTCAATTATTATAATGCGATCACAGATGATTGCTACTATAGTTCCCCTAAAACAAATAAGATATTAATAAAGTATAGAGATCTTCATTGTTGCCGTATTGAGGATAATGTGGTCATTAATGAAAAGTTAACACCCAATATCTAATGGATGGTAAAAAGGTACAAATTTTATATTTGAAGTGTGGTACCGGGACTGAGTTGAGAAAAAATAAAGTAGAGGGACCAATTTGGGTATGAAGCCCCAATACCGGGACGAAAATGTTCTCTTTTAGCCTTAGCAAATCAGTGTTTGCCTACATATAGGATTTGGTTCTATTGCAACCATTCTTTATTCAATTAATGATAAATTTTATGTCAACTCGTAGAGTGATATCGGCTCACGGCCTTTTCCATGAGCTGCTATTGTAGGCACTAAAAAAATGCCAAGAGACAAGAGAGTGACGAACCTCGTCTCAGTCAATGAAGCTCGTCTTAACCAAACGAAGCTCTCAAACACCTCATCACTCAGAGACGAAGCTCGTCATTGAAGATGAAGTTCGAAGTTCGTCACTAGGGACAAAGCTTCTTCAAAAGGTGAATCTCATCATGGGAAACGAAGTTCGAAGTTCGTCACTGGGAACAAAGCTCCTTCAGAGGATGAAACTAGTCATTAAAGACGAAGCTCGTCATTGAAGACGAAGCTTGTCATTGGAAACGAATCTCCTCCAAAAAAATGAAGCCCATTCAGGAGGCGAAGTTCATCCAGAGACGAACCTCGCCAAGCAACAAGACTCGCCCCAGAAAACCAGGTTCAACACATACCAGTCGTCAGGCTAAGTAGTGGGTTGTTAAGCAACCCAAACAAACCTCAATTGTTGCGGAGCCCGCGGTCAATTTGCTGTCAAAAAAGGCAAGACGTCGTCGACGCCAGAATCAGGTTCACCGTGAAACCCGCACCTTAGTCTCTCTGGATGGCTTCCACTATCGGCCACACGATGACATGGCTAAAACTCGCAAGTTAGTCGAGACTCGCCTAACTGACGTGCGTCAAAATGACGAACCACGCCTACACCGCGAACCTCGTCATCACTGCTCGTGCGTCAAGTGCGCCCAGATGACGAGCCTCCTGTTGAGACGAACCTCGTCTTCAACACGAGGCTCGTCCAAGACGACAAGTTCATCTCTCTATCCAGATTCGCTCAGCTATCGAGGCTGGTCAAACTAAGGCGAGTCAAAATGACGAACCTCGCCTCCAGCACAGAGCTCGCCCCATTACTGGGCCACCTTCAAGTTGCCAAGTCAAGGTTCGACTAAGACAACCAATTCATATGAATGACGAGGTTCACCCCCTGAACCAGGTTCACCCAAATGTCAAGACTTACATGTCTGACGAGACTCGCCCAACTGACGAACCTCGTATCGCACATGAGGCTCATCCAGCCACTCAAGCTCATTAATCTCTAACACTTAGAGATTCTTATGCATGCACATTCAAATTGCCTGAGTTAACAGGGGGTGGTCCTATTACTGATCTTCATGATTACCTGATTCGTAGATGCAATATGAGGCAGATAAAATCCTGTTGCAACTGTGAAAGGCTCATCTCCACAGTACTCGCCAAATGCCAGTGCGGGGGCCTATCACCCAAGCATCACCCAAGCCCTCTGCCTTTGAGCGACTGTCCTTATTGACAAAGTGACCTTGACAATCAACACCATTCTTGTTAATTTCCACTACCTTCAAACTCTCACCCGGTTAAACTTTCGGACAGTTAGGACCAACACCAAAATCCCCTCTCGATTCTATCCATGAACGAGAAGACTACTCAAATTGAACGATCAAACATTCATACAATTAGGATCGTCTCAAACTCCCACACGGTTAAACCTTCAGACAGTTATGACCAACACCAAAATCCCCACTCGATTCTTTCCATGAACGAGATGACCACTCAAATTGAACGATCAAACCTTCAGACAGTTAGTGTCGTCTCAAACTCTCACACGGTCAAACCTTCAGACAGTTAGGACCAATACCAAAATCCTCTCTCGATTCTTTTCATGAACGAGAGGACCGCTTAAATTCGATAATCAAACCTTCAAACAGTTTAGGGTTATCAAAATTCCACATTTTTGCTCACGTGAGTTAAAAGATCTCTTCTGAGTCAACGCCACGTGGCATGACTCAAATTTGATTCTTAGAGTGAAGATCCCACTCTGAGTTTCTTTCTAGATTCTCTGATGCACGTGCATCCAAAGTCTTTCAACTCTAAGTTCACATGAACAAGGAATCCCTTCTGAAGTGAAAGATAACAAAATACCTTTTTTTCCTTCACAACAGGGTTCGTCTCTGTCCCAAGATGAGACACGACAGGGTTCGTCACTGTCCCAAGAGGAGACATAACCGGGTTTGTCTCTGCTCCAAGAGGAGACACAACAGGGTTCGTCTCTGCCCCAAGAGGAGGCACAACAGGGTTCGTTTTCGCATCAAGAGAAGACACAAAATTTTAAAAGTCTACATGTGTAGCCAGTTGTTACTGATTTAATAAAACCTAAAATCTATGCCTATCATGCATAGTGGATTTTATCCTGGTCCTTAATCAGAGATAAGTCTACGTCTAACATACGTAACCGGGTAGTCTATTCCTGTAAGAATGATGAAGCATGTCTATTCAATATCGTAACATTAAGACTAAGAGAGTTCACTCTTTTAGCAGTACTTTACATGCGGAACGGACTTAAATAATTTGCATGCTAGCTCGACTCAAACGGCAGTCGGTAAAGATTTATCAAACCCGTTTATGATTAAGGGTTTGTCAAAAATCCTATAAGTATTATATTTATTTATTCCAAACAGAATGAGTAATCATAATAGAGTTTAAACGATCATAAAGTTCATTTTATTCATAAGGGGAAAACAAAAGATACAAAAGTGATGCCATCATTCGATAGGCAGCTTGTGACAACAGATTTGCTCCTCCAGCTTAGAGAGCTTCTCTTCATAAGCTCGCGCAAACTTCACCTTCAGTTCAGCTTTTATAGAGTCTTCAGTGGTAGTCGAAGCCTTAGTGATCTCCTTCTCCATCTCCGCCAACTTTTCTTCATAGGACTTCATTCTCTCGAGCACCTTACCATAAGCATTCTCTATGCTGGTCAAATCATTGTCTATGATGGCTCGAGCATTCTTGGCATCCTCGAGGGCTTTTTCGAGATGGACAATCTCTCCTTGGTTCAGCTCGCGAGATTGGAGCAGGTCGGCTCTGGTTTCTACTTTCTTGTGCAAGCCTGTTCTTATATGCTCAACACAAGTTTGTAGTTGTTTAAGTTCAAGTTCAGTAGACATCCGTCTATAATGTCACACCTTCAAGCTGGATTCCATCTGCGCAGATATATATGAAGCATCGGTAGTCCGGAGCTCATTCAAGTCTCCAAGTTCATGCTCTAAGCGAGCCAAGTCCGCTATAATAGTCGGCCAAGTCTGCATATCATTCTTCCCTGATATTTGTTATATGTCGATCAAGGATTCGCCGGAAAAAATGGAAGGGCAACCCCTTATGAAGGACTGTGTCGATCATCATATTCAGAAAAAAGACGAAGCTATAAAGCTCCGGATCACGGCCTTCTCCGGACCTTCATCCAACATCACCTTAATAGAAACATACACCAATGAAGGAGAGGCTAAAAAAAAGAGTAAGCACTTCAATAATTATCCATGACGATGCTCATATTCGAGACTTTAAAGTAACCAGGATAGAGAAAGTACCGATTTCAGCAGAAGATCCCCCACCTTGTTGGACCGGAGGTGTTTCCGATGAGGCCTGAAGGATATCCGTCCCAGGTTTGGAAGTACGTAGCTGAACTTCAACAATTTCCGATTCCAAACCCGAGATAGTAGCGGTATCAACACCAATGACTGGTCCTATAATTAAAACTCTCATTTAGTTACTCGCAATTATCAATTGTAGAAGTAACATTGGGGTAAAATGCATACCTACAGATGAACCAGCTTCCGCGGTTGGTCCTGTAGCTTGACCCTGGCCCGATTCTGGCAGTTATTGAGATATCAAGTTATGGTCAAATTCGGAGAAAGTTATCATCTGTTTGAAGTCATGCTCAGGAAGATCTCTAACAGCAGCACCATGAGCAGCCTCCTCTTTAGCTGACTCTTCCATAGCAACGTCTGCAAAAAGGAGATAACTTTCAATACGAAAGAAAGAACAGTAGTCTACATCAAATAGAGGTCAACTTTACCTTTAGCAGATTCCGCAACTCCAACACTTGTACCCACTTCCTTCAGCTTCTCTAAAAGAAGACGAAGCGCACAAATGATTAGAGGATGTACAAATTTCGAGTCACTCAATTATCTGAATGGCCACCCAAATAAGGTAATATCTATACTAGATATACCTGGGCTGGAAAACTTTAAGGTGGCGTCAGCAGTGGGATCGAATTGGACCTCGGTATCTACAACACCTTCAGTGTCCGAGGGCTCTTCACTAATTGCAACATGCATTTGTTGGGTGAAGCTTAGCCCCTCAGGAAGAGTGAACTCAGGAGAAGTGGGTTCGTGCGGGATTTCACCTTCTTCATGATCCTCTATGAACGAAAAATGAAGGATATGATTAATGAACTTGGAGATAGAGCTTTAAAAAACAACATAAGGGTGAAATATTACCCCCTTTCTCAGACATGATATCTCATATCAGCGCTTCTTAAGATGTGGGCAGTGTAGTGCATGACCTATGTACAACTTTCTTGACTCTCTTCATGGGCCGAAGTCCTTCAGAAGCGACAGTACTTTCCTGTCGAAAATTGGTGCGTAACTCAGCCTTAGGGGAAATTAGAGATGAGGCTTGAACTAAAGGTCAGGATCTTTACCTACCAATGAGCCTAGTTTCAACAGGTTCTGTCTCTTCTTCTTCCTCTCCACTCTGAACTTCCACCGCCATCCGGTGAGGAGATCTGAGAACTCTCTCTTTGAGAGAGGGCTTCTTTGCAAAATCCTACCCTTTAGAACGAGAAGGAGATAGTGGTTGTTCTAGAGATTTGGACTGGTCTGAACGACAAGCCCTATAGGCGATAGACGAGCTAACACCCCCTCCTGAGAAGAAAGAAGGTGGGAGACCTGATGCATCTTCCCCTTCGTCATCCCCTGCTTCAATGCCTTCACTCCCAGCTTCACCTTCTTCCTCGGATGTCCAAGCCACATCCGTGCAGAGTTCCTCCTCGCTTTCATTAGAATCAACAACTTGTTTCCCTTTGCCGGAGAATTCAATAGGTTTCTTCCCTTTCCTAGAAGATATAGCTTCTCGAACTGCTTCAGTAGGAAGTCTTGATGTTGTTTCCGCCTCTAGCTCCGAAATTTTCTTCTTCTTCGTGAGCGCGTTGGCAACTATGAGCTATTTGCAACATAAGAACGTTGTCTGCAACTGAGGCTCTGCAACCGGAAGGTTGAATTTGGCGTTCATGCAACCAGAAATGCTATAGAACCATGCACGAGGGCCATCAATAAGACCTCCATGAATCTTCAATCTCTTGTTTGGGTTCCCAACATACAGTTGGTCGTAACCAAACTGACGAGCAAACCGACAAGGGAAGTAGGGCTCAATGCTACACGTGTTCTTCACCCGGAAAACCAGATAGCCGGGGCAGATGTTCATCAACCAACGAAAGCAGCCCACATCCAAAATAGTCATGTTCTTCCCTGGCTCTTCCTTATCAACAAACAGCTCATTATAATTGTCGGAGAATTGAGGAAAGCATTTGAAATATTCCCAACACTTGTGAACCCTAAACTGCCTAGTCACCTCATGTCATTGCCTCGCCTCCTATTTACACTCCTCTAAAATTTGTAGTAGGAGGATGTCTGGATCTGTAATTTCGAGCGCCGTTATTAGGTTATAACGGTGGACGACAAGCCACGTCATCAAATAAATATATGGCAGCTCTATTTTGGAGTTGGGGATATCACTTGAAGGCTTGCTTCCTCCTTGCGTAAAACTGGTGGCCAAGTACCACAACCCGCTGTGGATGTCATCAATCATCGCGGGAAGTAAAGAAAGCTTGCGTCCAATCGCTAATTGGACGGTCGAGAACAAGACTTCGATAGGCAGTGCTTCGGAGACTTGGTGCGGCACCACGCACTTCTTTAATCATATAGCTAAATATCCCGCCAAAAGGATTGTTGGTTTTATCCTCCTCTGAGCATACCATAAGGTCTCAAACTTTGTACCCCTCGAAATTTGCCTTTTGTTGAGGGAGTGGTATAAGATTGTGCCCGAATCTTCGCTATCAGCTTGTTAATATCAGATGGGGTCAAAGGGGACAACTCGCAGACTTTGTTGCCCGAAGAATCCTCAAGACTCTTGAAGAGGTATTCAGCGAATTGTTTTAAGCTAACTTGGGGGAGTTTCTTCACCTTCACATCAACATCCGCCACGGCAATCTGGTAGTGCAAGTCAATTCCCATAGGATGTCATATGTAGCCGAGCCCATCTCTTTCATCTGGTTTAGCTGGCGGGTAGTAGAGAAGAATTCTTGATATGGCACATCCCCCATTGATAATCCAGATACATTCATCATCGAAGTCCTAACTCTCCATTCTTGGTAAGAAAGGTATTCGTATCCGGATTATATATCTCGAACAGTGCGAAGAAATGATTCACACTTATGGGGAGGCCGTACATACTGGCTCGGATGGGCACATACAATCCTTTCTCATTCAGCTCCTTGCCCCAACGCCCGAGTACATAATTTGTCATCCTGATCCACCACTTATCAGCAGAAGAGTGGACCCAACCATAACACCTATACTTCTTAATGGGCAGCTCCCTACCCAACCGAGCGAGGCGATTCTTCATGGTATTCACCCTTATCATCAACTCATTTTGTGGCACGTTATCCTGACCCAACACACCAGGATGAAGTCAACGGATATAAGCTCGATCACTGGAACCTAGAGTTTTACTCTTACTGATGAATCCACAATGTACTCGCCCCTGGTCCTCAGCAAACGCCAAGACATCTCCCTGGTCACTACCAATCTTCACAGTTGAACCAGGGAATAATGGCGAGGAATCGGAGAAAGAAATCTGAAGGCCCTATCGTACTCATTTAACCAATGTTCTGAGCCACAAGCAAGAATGTTGAGATCCTCAACAGAGTCACCAAACATATAATTGGGCTTCCTCAGTGGTTGAGTTGATTATTGATCCCTTGTGAGCGGTGCATCCATGATCAGTCGTCGCAGTGTACGACTCCCCTTTTGCACAAGCTCAGGGATGTCCTTCGACCCAATTTATATCAAACTGAGAGGCCTCATTTATAATGGGCATCTCGTCAGAAGAAGCATAGGCAACGCCGCTCTGACCGCTCACCTCCCTAAGTGAAAATGTCGTGGGCGGTAAGTTAACTATAACGTACAAAAGAGTATGTGTTAAAAGCGGTTAAAGAACATTCTTAACGCAAATTAAGCGAAGAAAAGATAGTTAGACTGATCTCGCAAACCTGTGAGACAGTGGTAACTGTCTTACATTTTGCAGGACAATAAAAACTGTCTCGCACATGTGAGACAGTGAACACTATTTCGCAAATTACGAGATAGTATATTCTATCTTACGAACTGCAAGATAGCGTGAAGGTATCTTTTTTTGCTTTAGGATGTGTTTTGGCCAAGCAAAACACTCCAAATTAAGCGTCGATCCTCGCAAAGGAGGATATCGGCTCTTCCGGAATACCTCACGAAGGAGAACAAACGAGGAAATTCTGATTTTTCAAACCAGTTAAATCTCAGAATCTCACCCCCAAAGAAGGGAACAATAACCTCCTCTCTCTTAGATGATCGAGCAACAGATTTACCCTTGGAAACAACCTCTCAGATGATAGGGCAACTGATTGGCCCTTGGAAACTACGGATCTCTTCGGAGACATGATCAAAATGGGAGTTGTGGCCGAAAATCAAGTGAGAAAAGCTCGGGTTTTGAGAGAGAACTCACAAAAGTTTTTTCAACCATGTGTACAAATTACGCAAAAATGTCAATTTTTACATCTTTTTCCCCTTTATTCTAGGGCTTTAGCGAGTTTATTTGGCCGTTTTCTTCAGTGATGAGCCAAAAAGATTTTTAAAAAAATCCAACAATGACTAAAAAAGTCCATCATCAGTCATCAGTTCTATGAGATGGGGGAGAGAGAGGGGTGAGGTTACCGAAGGGTACGGAATCGAGGAGGGAGAGGGCGGCATCAGCTAGGGTTTGGAGCTTGGAGTTCTTGTCTTCTTGATCGATGGGGAAGTAAGTATCATGGACACGATAAAGCTCGTCAATAGCCTCCGTCGCCTCTGCGATTGCCGGCTCCGATCCTCCGCCGCCGCTGCTCATTCTGCCCTGCTGCACCGGAAGAGGAGAGAGAACAGTCACAAGCGATGAGAAGTATTAGGGCTTTTTAATTGTTAGCCCCTTACATCCTTTATAATTCCATATTAGTACCTCAATTCATATAGGTTCTTGCAAAATTACCCCACTAGTGGTTAGTTTTTCACTTAAAAAGTGTAAGGGCCCTTTTGGCAAGGTGTTAAGAGGGGGATTAAGAGGGTTTAACTCGTTCTTAGCCTTCCAGACAGGTTAAATTGGTAAAAGGGTTAACAAAGTCTTAACAAAAAATAACGGGTATTAACTCGTCAGATTGAGGGGTTTACTACTCTGCGTGAAGAGACAGAGTAGGAGTCACTCCCTCAAATCATGATGAGCAGTGAATGTGATTTCAACATGATAAAAAATCTCTCTATTTTATCGCCAAAGATTTTTGAAGATGGAAAAATCTATTTTCCTATAAAACTTCGTTCCTTTTTCTCCCTCATCCCTCCTTTTAACCCGTCGCTCAAGTCACAAGAGGCGTTCATGATAGTTCATCTTCCGGTTAGGCATCATCAAAAATTCGCATGGTATGTCTGATTTTATATATAATTTAGTTATTGTACATTAGATTGAGAATGTTGTCTAGTATACGGATGAAGGATGCGCTAAGACCAACAAGATATTCTAGCTGCAATGAACAATTACTTATTTTATATAATGTATTTCACTTACCCTTCTGAACCAAATATTGTCTGAGATAATTCAGCATTCGGGAGAGAATATTAGCATGTGTTACAATAATGTGCTTAATGCAATTATATTTTTGAAGCAAGTTATATATTTAGATTCAACTTCTTGCTTCGGATGTATATGTTCATCCTAAAATTCCAAAAAATCCCAATTTTTATCGACATTTAAAGGTAATAATCCTATAAAAGATATTTTATGAAAATTATTTCAAATTTTATTACAAGTTCATATTTTTCAAATTAATTTGTAGAAAGTATTAGGAGTAATTGATGAATCTCATATTCTGGCTATTGTAAAGAAGGAAAAAAGAATAACAGGTATTGCAATCTAAAAATTTTCATTTCTCAAAATGTCATGGCGGCTTGCTCCATCGATCACACATTCCTTTATGTTATTGCTGGATAGGAAGAATCAACATCAGATATGTCATACTTCGAGCAGCACTGGAATATGTTAAATTTTTTGCTCCTAAAGGTAAATTTTGATAGTTCTCTATTTTTTAATACTAGGTTTTATGCACGTGCAATGTACGTGGTTAAATACCATAATTAAATAGTTTTGATTTATTTCCTTACTAAAATTTATTCATAGGTTCCATTTGATAGTTTTGCTCTCTTATAACTCTAAACTTTAGCATTGTGATTATTTATTTTCTTTGATGTTAGTTTGAATGCACTACATCGAATTTAAAGTTTCGTGTTGATAATTGAATTGACAGGAAATAAATGCAATTCAAACCCAATTTGAATTTTTATTTTATTTGAATCAACATGAAAGCAAGCTTGGCTTGAAAGTATAGTGTTGCGAAAGTGAAAAGTACCTGAAAAATAGCATTATAAAAGGAAGATAAATAATTAAATACAAGATGATTGATTAAAAATGGTATGGAGCGAAACTAAAGAAAATATGAAATTTATTCCTAATTATTGATAGACTTTGTTAAAAAATCATAAAATAAAGATTAATGTTAAAAATCATAAACTAAATGTTAATGTTAACTCCCTTATATATAATAAAAGTATCCACATAAGTATATAAATGTAATAAAAAAGTTCATGAAAAATCCCTTTTAAAGTTTCTTTATTTTACTTAAAAAATTAAACTATTCTGTAAAATATTCAAGAAAAACAATAATATCTCTTTTTTATTGAGTCGAGATCAATCATTCTCTACCTTCATCTTTTTCCTAGGCATTTCTAAAGCAGTGTCTTCATCATTTCCATATTTAACAACAAAGTCATGACATCAGGCTGGAGCTGGATTTCTTGTGCTGTTATCTTTCCCTGGGCTCATCATCTTTTGTCTTCTTATCTTACTTCACAAAAAAGTTAAATGTGTTTCTGATGTTCAATACAAACTCCTGGATATACGAACTTTGATTATTTTTATATTTCAATGAAAATAAATATTAATTTTATATATATAAATTTTTTGTGTTTCTAATTTATTACTTAAATAAGATTAGGAGTTACCTCTTTTTCTCTGCAATGATTTCTTCTGTGCATCCTATAAGAGTTTCTACTACATTAAATAATGTTAATTTTGCTTTGTTTTGTCATTTTTTATTAGGATATGAACTAAATAACTGCATTTTTCATTGTCAGTTTACCTTAGATTATAATATTAATATTTAATTTTAATATGTTTATTTCATAAAAAGAAGAATATTACTCAATCTTGATACTACATCATCGGCTATTCTGTGATATTTATCATTTGGGCACTCTTATTAACATCTTTATCCACTTTATCGTCGCAAACTTTACAAGCATAGAACCACAGCTCAACTCTATTGTAAATCGTAGTTATCTTTGTGTTATAGGTGCAACAATGTTTACACTGGTAAACTATTTTTAGCTTTAATTGTGTAAATTTTAGAGTAGATCTTATAAGATATACCTCTTTTGAATGCTTGATGATTACATATATCAGTAATATATATTTGTGTTGTATTTGTAAAGAGTCTTAATGGAGATGTTTTTACCTTGGCAGTTTGTTCTGAATGAGCCTAGCATATTAGCTTTAAAATATAATATTTTTTCTTTATTGTGTTATATGAATATTTTTATGGTTTACTTATTATTCTCTTATTTCTTTAGTAAGTTTAACTTTGGTTTGATATATATTGTTGACACAAATTATGATGATATGCATATCTTCCCTACAAATTGGAGACATATATAAAGTGAATTTTATGTTTAGTGGCATTTAATAAGAATTTTAGTATTGAAATATGTCACATTCATATTTAAAGATCCTGAAATCCAATAGTACTATTACATGCTTATCTTTGAGTATGTCTTCAATAAATAATCATTTGTTGATAGTCATATCCCCAAATAAAGTTACATGCAGAGTCATGCCACTATATAGGAAAAAGAAAAAGGATATTTTTTTTACTTATACTACTGTAAATAAGTTATTATGTGCATACATTTTTTTCCATTATAGTGATTTCCCTCCCCTTATATGGCTTGTTATTTTTCGCAACATAGTTGATCAATGACTTCACTTAGTTTCTATTACAATATTATGTGTATATAATTTTGTATTAAGTTCATGATCCCTTTAATATTTTAAAAAATAAAATATGAAAATTTATAAATACTTACTAATTTTTCTTGTACCTTCCATGAAGAATGCTTCTTTAACTAGGACAAAGTTGCTCAATATGTTCTTCAATGGGAGCTTAGTTGGTGCTTCTTTAATAGATTTGTCTTTTGCCAATGTCAATTAAAGTGATTCATGAATGTTTCTGAATTTTGGGTTTATTTTCTTAAATAATTTCTAGATTTAATGTGTACTGGTTATGAGTTCGAGCTTTTTGTGATTTTAACTTTTAAGGGATTTTTTTGTAATTTTTATAACTTTAAGGTTTTTTTATAAATTTTAAATTTTTAAGTGAATAATGGTAATTTCTTAAATCATCTATGTCATTTGCAAGTTTTGAAATTCAAGAATTTCACAGTGTTTTTTTTTGTAATTTAAACATTTGAGGTTGTTTCTATAGTTTTTGAAATGTTAAGGGTGTTAATTAAAAAATTTAAACTCTTTAGGGACTATTATCAATTTATGGATTTTTTTTCATTTTTTAGTTTTGAAAGGTCAGGATGTTTTGTGTAATTTTAAATTTTTGAGGGTATTTTGTGTAACTTTTAAAACTTTTTAGGTTTTTTGTAATACTTCATGTATTATAATATGTTAGCTATGTATGATTGCTTAATCTTATTTTTTTAAACTATTGAGCGATAGGTTGGTCAAGTAGGATTAGTATAGGATATAATTAGTATTAGAATAGAGTAAGATTTAAATGAAATATTCAATAGAGTATTTCAAGTATTTTATTAAATCTTAATTTTTTAAAATTATTAAGCTATAGATAGTTCATATTGGATTAGTATCATATATAATTAAGATTAGGATAAATTAATATTTAAATAAAATATTAAAAATAGTAAAGGGAAATTTTGACCATGGAAAGCTTTTCTAGAACCCGTGCTTCTAAAGGGAGTATGATTTTCATTAAATTATTTTAAAAATTTTAAATATTTAGGTCGCTTCTACTGAGTTGACTCAGGATATGCTAATATTCCAAAGTTTATTGCACCATAGCGTGGATCACGCTACCATATTAGAGACATGGGAATAAAACTATTACTGGAGCTTATCAAGATCTTAAAGATAAATTTAATCATAAACAAGCACAATTGTGCAATGCAATTGAAAAAACACGCATTCATTTAAACTGATTAACTTAATGCTAGATTGATATTTCATTTTGTATAATGAGAATTATCATTGCGTATAATCACAGAGTTATTATCTTCTTCGTATATGTTTCAATAATCAGTTAATTAAATAACACACAAATGAAGATTATTTTAAAGAATAAGAAGAATGTAAATTTTAATTGAATGTTTTTAATGCAATAATTATTAGTAACTATTTTCTAGGGCTAAACTTTGTATTATCAAAAAATTGATAGATCAACAACCTTAACCCTTCATTATTTGCTAAACACGAAAAAGTTAACCCTTATCTAAACTAACTATCTGTAGGCGTCAAAAAATTGCCTATAGAGCATCACACATAGCTCAAGATGAAGAGAAGATGATAAACGTTATTATCTAAGTTATAAAAGATCATCCAAAGCCAAAGATCAACTAAGGAATGTACAAGAAGCAAATCACACAAGTTTCGAGGCACAAAACGTGTCTCAGAAACTATGAGAAGACTCATAGTTTCTGAGACAGTTGCGGCTGTCTCAGAAGCTATGAAGGCAAATCATA